TCAATTAAAATTTTGATGGATTTTAAAATATTATAAATTCTAATGAATTTCATGAATTTGAATAGATTTTCACAAATTTCTTAAAAATCTCATCAAAACCGAATTTCATAATATTTGGTTATATTTCAGAAGTTTCTTAAAAATCTCATCAAATATAGTGAAATTTCATAATATTTGTTATAATCATCAAATATAGTGAAATTTCATAATATTTGTTATAATCATCAAATATAGTGAAATTTCATAATATTTGTTATAATCATCAAATATAGTGAAATTTCATAATATTTGTTATAATCATCAAATATAGTGAAATTTCATAATATTTGTTATAATCATCAAATATAGTGAAATTTCATAATATTTGTTATAATCATCAAATATAGTGAAATTTCATAATATTTGGTTTTGATGAGATTTTTAAGAAATTTGTGAAAATCTATTCAAATTCATGAAATTCATTAGAATTTATAATATTTTAAAATCCATCAAAATTTTAATTGAGCACAACCCGTAAATCTATTAGTTGTCAATGATCCCGTATGTTTGCAGGTTTCGCACGAACAATGCTCTTACAAAAGTTTAGGTTACTGAAACTAAATATGCAATGAGTGATTATATACGTAAAATCCAATTTAGAAATGACTTCATTACGTGCACATCTCGCACATGAACTTTTAAAAGAACTTTAGGGTATTGAAATTGATCTATGTTTTATAGCCATTTTGACGTCTAGCAAAATCATCTTATAAAATTGGAACTGTGGATTGATACGTGCGTATTTTATTTTGGGACGCCCCATTCACGTTTTGATTTAATCACGGATTCGTCGTGAAGGTATCGACATGCATATATTTTATTAAATAATTTAATTATTTTTCTTAACAATTTTTTTCTAGTAATTCCATTTGTGAAAATCTATTCAAATTCATGAAATTCATTAGAATTTATAATATTTTAAAATCCATCAAAATTTTAATTGAGCACAACCCGTAAATCTATTAGTTGTCAATGATCCCGTATGTTTGCAGGTTTCGCACGAACAATGCTCTTACAAAAGTTTAGGTTACTGAAACTAAATATGCAATGAGTGATTATATACGTAAAATCCAATTTAGAAATGACTTCATTACGTGCACATCTCGCACATGAACTTTTAAAAGAACTTTAGGGTATTGAAATTGATCTATGTTTTATAGCCATTTTGACGTCTAGCAAAATCATCGTATAAAATTGGAACTGTGGATTGATACGTGCGTATTTTATTTTGGGACGCGCCATTCACGTTTTGATTTCATCACGGATTCGTCGTGAAGGTATCGACATGCATATATTTTATTAAATAATTTAATTATTTTTCTTAAAATTTTTTTTCTAGTAATTCCATGTGTACACTAGAGTGTAAAATTCTAGTTTACATGGAGTGGAATTCATTTTTTTCGCCTCGTCTACACATTAGGATGCAATTTGTGGCCTATCTAGAAGCCAAATAAATGCTTATAGCGGATTTATAAATCTTTTCTAAGAGAAATAAAAATAATTTTAAACATGTAAAATAATTACAATAATCTACTCACGAAATAAATAACATTTCAAATTATTTAAAAAAGTTCACAACAAACACTTCATTGTATTAAATTAATCTAATCTAATATTTTCACATTCCGTAATAGGATCAATTTCAAAGATGAAAACAAGTGAAAAATTCATTCTTCAATCTCATTCCTCTCGAGTATGATTAGTGACATACATGAATATTGTAACAACCTTAAGTTGAGCCCCGAGACCATTTGTCTACTCCATGTTTAGGCACGGGCTAGCACACCCTTCAAGCCCTATACGTTTAAAATTCTAATTCTTCGTGGGATATCTCGAAATAGCTTTACATATCATGAACCCTACAAGATTTTTAAAACAACTTTTCAGTTAAGTTACAATGCATATCCCAATACGTGGTATGTACAATAAGTGGATCACACTCAACAATATTAAAGAAATAAAATTTAAATTTTGTTCATGGTACAATTTATGAAAAGCTTAAGAAAAATAGGTTAAAAATCAACTATGATACTGGCAATTCATTCTGGTGACCCCAATATTCCATAATAACTCTTTTCTTTTTCTCCTTGTTTTATTAGGTTAGTGATTTATAAAGTTGAAGTTGAAGCATTACTTCATTTAAAATTTTTATATGACAAATATACCATTTTGGTGTTGGCAAAACCGTACTAGTATGCTATATCAAACAATAATCTCATTAAGAAAAATTATTTAAATCCATTGACAAACTGTATAAATAGATTCATAAATGGTCAAACTTCATTTTTAACCACACAACTCGATGAATTCATGGGTCTTATACACTTATTCACCGTTCATTACTATTTATTTATAAATTAAATAGTTTATAAAGCTTAAAACTTATGTGTCGAAAGGCACAAAGTGTGTTCACATGTCCCAACGTATATAGAACCTTAAAAAAATGCATTAAATGGACAATTATACGATGAAATGTGAGAGAAGCATTAAAGTTTAACCGACTTCTAATATGAAAAAATATTTACCAAACAAGAGCTAACACCAATCTAAATATACCTGCGATTGCAACCATTAAAGACCATTTTCTTCTGCCCGATGATGAGTGGACTGCATTTTAAAGCCTAATGGTTAAAATTCGCCAAAAAAATAAAAATAAAAAATCATATATTAACACAAATTTGAAGAATTCCATAAAAACTTGTAGCGTGGGACGATCTAATTGACATCTTTATCCATCCTCTCTTCCCCACATGAAAGGGGAAGTAAGAGGAGGATGTACCTAAGAATATGTTCTAATTTCTAAAACAGCAGAAAAAATTGACATCGACACAGAATGTAGAGCATTCCTTAAAAGGTCGGATGCTCGACGTGGCATGACAGTCCAAATTCAGACCTCTCTGGTACGATCAAATTGACACCTCTACTGACCTCAATATAAAAGAAGAATTTAAAAGAGGGTGCACCAAAGAATATTTCTTGAAATGAATGTACAAATTTAATTTCTAACCTGTGTCACAATTAGATGTAGAATTCCAGCTCCCACACATGCACAAATCACTGTTCTGTTCAATATCATAACCACAAGATCCGCCAGTGGCACCACATGTTTGACAAAATGTCTCTTTGCCTTGTACAGAGTACTTAACCTGTATCCCATAAGACCATTCACCAGGCCCTGCCACTCTCAGGGGAGCAAGACTGTATGCACTACTATAACCCTGGCAATCTAGTTTCGAAAGATTCACAGCCTTAATGGCTTCAAATGGCAGTGCACAGCACTCGAGCGGGCCCAACCTTGGCCTCAACCCGACATGTTTAGGTCCGAACATGCCCCAAGCCGGGCAGCCAAAGTACTCTTGGCAGCTCATCCCCGATACATTTTGACAGGGCAAGTGTTTCCCGGGGAAACCTTGGAACAATGGGGATTCAGGCGAGCACTTGAGTAGCATGAACATGTTTTCAGGTGTTGGATTCAAATATGGCGCACGCCATTCCTCGACCACGAATCCATTGCCCCGGCCTTGTAGCGCCATGGCGTCACAGGTCGACATGTGAGGGTCGTCTAATACGAGGAACTGATAGGTATAGTCTATGTCTAGAACACGATACGATCCAGAACTAATGTGGAACATGAGGACGTCGTTGATGCAAAATAAGAGTTCTCGGAAGCCTGGATGCCCACATCCAGTTTGAAGAGTAAAAGGGTAATCAATTGTAAGGTTACCACAGAATGATCTGCACGCATTAATGTGGCTAGATCCATAACCTACCGAGACTAATGTTTGAAGTACGATAAACAATAAGGTCAGGAGGAAGCAATCCATGGATGAAAATCAGAGATTTGGAAGAGAAAATGTACCAAAAATGTGATGGCTGAGGAATGATTCTTTTCTTTGCTTGGGATTTTGAAGATATGTGTTAGGAATGCATAATTTAATGGGGCCCTTAATAAAGAATATGAATGAATTGTTTTTAGGTTTTTCTTATCCTTTTAGGAGACAAATACAGTTTCTTTAAGAAGATTTGGCCTACTTTTTGCCTGTGTAATTGCTTTAGTTTGCTTTTAGCCACTGTAGCCTGGTAAAAAACTATAATGCTTGTTGAATTGCTTTATGGTCAAGTGTGAACCATGATTGAAAGTAGTTTGCTTAACATTGAAATAGAAAAGAACAATAAAATTGCAATACAGATTTTTTAGTGATTCTATAATGTGTCTGTGTCCACTACTGTACAATGCAAAATTTATCCACTAACTTCAAATAGGATTACAACATGTTAATATAAAATCATAATTCTGAAATTACCCTTAACATCTTGTATATTAGCTCATGCACCCAGGGCGGACCCATATGGGGTCATGTGGGGGTCAAATGATCCCACAAAATTTTGCCCCCTTTTTTTTTTTTTATTATACAATCTACTTTGATGCACTTGTTGGGATGCCAAATGAAATCAAAATATTGCATTCTTAATACCATTTCGAAGTGCTCATGACCTAATTTTTCACTCATTATTGGCATGCAAAGTGGTCAATTATAGCAAAATTTATGACATGTTAAAGTATGCCGTTTGAAATTAATATTTTGAGAATTTCGATAATATCCTAATTTTAAAAATTCGTTTGCAATCATGTGCTATCTGAATTCACAAATCGTCTATGCCATGTAAAAGTTTGTTTTGAAAACTACATTTTTTTCATATCGAATGGTCCAAACGGATATCGAAAATAGTTAAATATGTATCAAACGTACGCTTCAAAAAAACGTCTAACTCGTTTTTTCTTTTAAAAAATTCAATTAATTATCATTTTTGCACAATAAAATTTCCAATATAATTTGTATAGTTTCATTCGGAAGTCTTATATGATATATGACATAAAATTTTTAGAGTCGTTACGGATTAAATGCAATTTGAATTAATTTCGAATTATATTTGCTTTAAATTTGAATTTCATTTACTTTCTAAACTAAACTTGAATTTTATTTAAATTCATTTAATTTCTATATTCAATTTAATTTACTCAATGTTAGCGCAGTATTTGCCAACGAAATAATAAACAAAAATATACAAGTAGCAAAATTTATTTAATAATATTAATAATGATGTAATTATACGACATTTTCAAAGTGTCAAAATACATATTAACTTATTTTCATTGATATTCTATTGTTTATTAAAAAAATTATTTTTAAAATTTTGACCTCACAATATTAAAGGTCTGGGTCCACCCCCGCATGCACCCCAAACTCATATACTTCTGACCGGATGGGCTCATTGATTCCTCTACGAGTCTGGGTCAGCTCCATCAACTAGCTTCTATGTACAAAAATATGAGCCACCTAATTAATCAATAAGGTCCTAGCAATTGAAGTCATGTTTTGCAATTGTGTGTCATCATCAGACACGATTTGTACTGAGAAACCTGTGTAATGGGCTTGAAATGTGTTGAAAGGCCTGTAAGATAGAGGTCCGTCAATCAGTCGGTAGGCCCACCAGATTAAATTCACTTATTTAGCAGAATCGCGTTCGGAGATTCATAACGAGTTTAGTTCAAACTCCATTGCCACTTCAAATCTGAAAAAGATGTTAAAAAAAAAAAAAGAACTGATTGGACCGTGTTTTAAAGTAGGGTTTATAACTGTGTTTTTCTCTATCATTTTCTTTTGATCATGGAAGCCCTTGAAAACGAAGAGCAAACGGTCAATAATGTAAATCTCTTTCTCTATTCTGTGCATATATGTGTGTGTGTATTTATATAAACTCTGCAACTTGATTTCTATCATTTGCTTCTTCTATAAATTTGATATCCCTTTTTTACTGTTACAGTTACTTACAAAAATATTTCATATTGATTAGGAATGATTAACTGTATTAACTTGATTTAAGT